ACCTTGATGTTTCAGGACCCCACTTTGGGTCCTGACCCCAACTTTGGGAAACACTGGCTTAGCATACAACCAACCAGCGAGGGTTTCATTGACTGACCAATGAGAGGAGAGTATGCTACACACTGCCGTTAGCTAACACTTTCACCAAGTGATTACTAAAAAGCTTTGTGGGAATTTATTGGCACCAGGGTGAAGTTTATGTAAGATTTTCCTCATAAAACTGTATCTTGATGTGTGTTTGTTTTTCAATATCATTAGCATCGCAAGATTTGTTTAGTTTACACGTCCGTAATCTACACCCGCCTTCAGAGTCAAGAACCAATCAAATTTTGTGAAGAAAAGTGACCTGAAAGAGCACGATTCGCAACACTGCAATCGCCATYGCATCCTCTGTGTCGAGTTTCACCCTTTTCTGCGATGACAGCCGTTAATCGCTGTAGTTTGTCGCTCCCTGTGTGTCAAGCCCTTAAGRCACTTACTGCTTTGAAAATGCTCTAACTTTGTTGTCAATCCACAACACCGTGTCCACCTTTAAAGGCACTTTGATTATCCTCAATTTATTTATTTTTTTACTGTTTACCTGCTGTCTAATAAATCCCAGAGCTCAACAGCTATCACAGTCTTTCCACTTTTTTTATAATTACTTTCAATCTGTGTTTGGTTATAGTTATACACCAAAATGATGTGGTTATAATTAGGCAATTTAGTTAATATATTTGTTTTAAATTGTGTTTCTTTTCTTTTTTCTTTAGGAACCTGCCTACCCAAACTGTGACCACTGAGTCGAATGATTTAAACTTCATACTTTGTGCCTAAACCTTCAAAATTTCTGTTCTCTTTCACTGTTATTTACAATCAACAATTTACTGCAAAAAATACTACAAGTCTTCAGCATGACGCGGCCTAGTATGGGGTGATGATGGGATGGGATGATGAATATAGGCACCGCTCATTCCTGTGTCTTTCTGATAAAGGTTTGCTGACAAATATATCATATTTGAAAATCCACAGATACAAAACCAGCTGGAAATGCTCACATCGTGTGCTTTGTGTTGGATAAGATAGTATGATAAGTGAAAGTAGGGATAGCACTGGTATAAATAATAAAATCATTGATGGTTCAATTACAGTTAATGTCAAGGTCCTTTACTGTCAAAGTAGTAAACAGAGATAGATGGTTGAAAACCAAACAGATTTATTTGGTCCCACACATTTTCATGCTTTTGCTTTGAGTTTGTTGAAAATGCACTCTTGACTGACATTTTGTTTTTCCTTCCTTATTATCCATGTCCTGCTAACAGAATAATATGGTGTTTACATTTTAATCCTATCATTAGCTGCATTTCCAGTGCAAATGTGCACAAAACTTTGTCGATATTCTGTTAATGTTGAAAAACACAGTTTCRCAACTGCGGTGTATTTATTAAGTAAGAAATGCTATTAAAGTCACGCATGAATACATTTGTTCTTGCGATAAGTCATTACAAACATGGCGGCAATGGATGTAAACACATGGCATATTGCTACCGCGACACTAGCGCTCTTTCCAGCGACAGCCCCTGCTTGGGAGCGACTACGTATGCTGTGTTTTTGGGAAATTTTAATCAGTGAGTTTACTACTTTCTTTTACTACTTCTGCGATATTACTATTACTTCTACTTCCTGCTATCTTCTTCGTCGTCGTCTTTTTCGCCAGTAGAAACAGCCGGTGGTTGATCACGTGACTCCCATGATGCGAAAAAGTGTTTCCATTGCAGTTTTGCGAAAAACACCAATTTCGATACGGCCGAAAAACCACCTCATCCTAGCGCAAAAACATTTTGTCGAAAAATATATATATATTTTCGAAATTGACGTGTTTCCATTGAGCAAATTTATTTTCGAAATTCTAATTTGCGCATTTTCATGGTCAATGGAAACACACCTACAGGTAGTCTTCAGTAAAACAAGTATAATTTAAAGTTAAAACACATCTGCTGAATTAGCATATAAATGTTCCTTTTTTTACTCACATCTAGTTAGATGGCTTGTAAATAGAATATTTTTCATTGGTGCAAACAACTATTACAATTCATTTACATCACTAACAGCCGAACTATTTTGTGACCAAATGTTTTTCCATTTTTTTTAAATTTTCCAGTAGGTACATTTGTAAACATTTTCTATTCATGAATACACATAGAAGGTCTTAAAAGTTCTTAAATTTGAGTTGCTAATAAACAGCGCATTTGTAATAGTCTGTCTCCATGGCCTCGCACACAGATGTTTGTTTCAATCAGTAAGGTCACGTCTGCCTTTGGCGGCTCCTCAACTGTGTGATGTTTGCAAAATTTAAACACAAAATATGACAACTTTCTACAGACAACCTACACATCCAAACAGTATATTTTAAAAAAAAAGTTTTTAAGCCTTATCTTTCAAACATTCTACACATTATCACCTCAAAATGAATGGCGCTGTTTACACACAATTAAATAAACTTGTGTCCTTATTTGAGTTTTTTGAGGAAAATAAGTTAGCCAACACATCTCATATTACTAAATTGCAAAATCAAATGATTTTTTTATAATAAACTTGGATGTTAGTTTATATGCAAAACTTGATGTATGATGGACAAGCAGAATTGTAAACAGCTTCACAATAAAATTGTGTATTTTTTCCCCTCCCTGTGTTAGTGTATAATTAGAGCTGTAACCACCATTCATCCTGGAGTGAAACAGAAAGGCAAGTCATCAAAGTGAGGTCCATAAATCAGAATATGACAAGCCAACAGCATGTGTGCCCCTATTGTATTTCAAAGTGCTTCCAAGCAGTCTCATCAAACGGATTATCCAGTAACAGCAATCAGAAAAGCAGATTTAGAACTGTTGATGCGCTGCTCTGGTGAAACGCCTTTGCTACTGGGTTAGGCCTGAGGTGAATCTCTGCACAACTGAATGAAGCATCAAAGCTCTGTGGTTTGGGGGCAAGAGAACACGTTTCCTCCGCTCAGCATCAGCGCAGATGGAAACCGACAGGACTCATCACTGTGGTGCCTCTTCAGATTTTAAAATGATTGAATTTGACCTGCTCTAAATCAGCATTCATTTCTAGGGCTCCCTTTATGTTTTTAGCTCTCAAAAACACCAAAATAAAAATGCTGATAGGTTGAAGTTTGCCTTGTATGGTTTCCCAGCTATTTCTTTTTTYGGTACCACTTTAAAATAAGGCTCCCCGTATAGATGACTTATAAAGAGTTTAMATATRTGTTATTAAKTCATCTGTAAACACTTTATAAATCATTATTAAATGTTTATTATGCAATAATTAAGGACGAGAAAGACAAAACTGTCCAGTTTCTTACCAAATAATGAGACAAGTCTGTTCACGTACATATTACAGATGCTATATTAAACATTTCAGACTAGGTTACTACATTGTAAGTACAATAACAATAAGAAACACATTTAACATAATAATGTACTGTATTACTGCATYATAAATATCCACAACTGTCAAAGGGAGACTTATCATAAAGTCTAATACAATACACTATTTATTAATGACAAATACGCATTTAGAAATGCAAAAAGTTAGTCTTTAATGTGAAAAGTCATAATTTTTAAAATTTTGTGTTGATTATTAATATTTGAAATTATTGTTCAAACATGTAACTACTGTCAACAATGTTGATGTATCAAAAAAGTAAAACAATAAAAATCACCAAATAACTCCACCCCATCCAAAATAGTGTACAGTTTTACACTTTACAATAAGGATCCCTTTAAAATTTGTGGATATTTATAATACAGTAATATAGCACAATTATAAATGTTAAAATATGTGTTTCCAAATGATTATTGTGCTTACAAGGTAAACTAGTCTGGAATGTTTAATACCCAAATAGATTTGGCTCAGTATTTCGAAAGACACTGGACAGTTTAGTATATTTTTGTCCTTAATTAATTTATAATAAACACGTAATAATAATTTATAAAGATGAGTTAATAACCTATCTATAAACTCTTTATAAGCCATCTATAAGGGGAGCCTTATTGTAAAGTGGTACTCTTTTTTCTATGTAACTGAAATAAAATAAAACCGAAATCTTGCATCAGTCACTATACATATCATACAGTTGTGAGCTCTACACAACAAATTGCAACTCCAGAATTAAAGATTGACTATATACAGCTTGCCACGACATAACTGATGACACAAATCACCAAAACAGCCAGTGGCATCATAAAACAAACATTAAAAAGCCAAGCTCTGTTACCTGTGCTGTGACAGCTGTCTCCATCTGAATCAAGTATCCATCCGGGATAGCAGGAGCACTTCACTGTGGTCTTGTACTGCTCACACACTTGGCTGCACTTCAGGTGACGGCTGCAGTAGTCCACCACCTCGCACGTCTTGTTGCTCCAGTCCAAGTGAAGCCCGGGGGGACAAGAACACACGACTCCTTTTCCTGGTGCCACCGTGCACTGGTGACTGCAGCCCCCTCTGGCCAYGAGACACATATCTGCGGTGTAGAAAAGTGTGGAAATATTTAGAAACAGGCAGTGGCGGATCTAGGATTTTTCTGAGTAAGGGGCCGTCAAGGGGCCACAATTTTCATAGAGGGGCCAAGTCTTTGTTCAACATCCTTTCACACAAATTCCCATTGTATACATTTTATACTTCAAACACTTGTAATGTAATGTATTTTTTAAAAAAGGTACCACTTTACAATAAGGCCCCCCTTATAGATGGCTTTTAAAGAGTTTATGGATAGGTTATTAATTAAACTGTAAACACTTTAAAAATATTAATAAGTGTTTATTATGCAATAATTAAGGACGGGAAAGAGACAAAATTGTCCAGTTTCATTCATGAATGAYTTGTAAACTTTACAAATGAATTAATAACCTATCTATAAACACTTTATAAGCCATCTGTAAGGGGAGCTTGATTGTATAGTGGTACCAAATATATTGCACAGTAAATTCTCCTCACCAGTTTTTCATATATTTTACTGAACATAGATAAAATATTTTCAAACACACATGTGAGAACATCCAGCCACCATTTGTCAGTTGAAAGACTTTTTGCAGGATTGTTCACATTTTAAGAAGAGAAGAAGAATTCTGTCAGCTTGATTCATTCTGGACTTTACTATTTGACTCATTAGCACAGCTAGTGTTTGAACATGGAACTGCATCCACCATCATCACCCCCAGGTAAAGGACAGATGAGTGACAGGACAGGGGCACTTCAGGGGRCCAATCAGATTTCAGCTGGGRCCAAAGTCCCTGTGGCCCCGCCCCTAGAACCGCCCCTGGAAACAGGCATGAGCGAGTGCAAAAAGTGAAATCTGCTGTATTTGCCTCCAACTTAAATGTGAAAAATCTATAACTCATCCCATCAGATTTTAGGGTCTATTGAGGAAATTATTATTATTAAAATCATTTTCATACTTATTTTAGAAGCTGCAAGTTAAATATGTCAAATAATTGTGATTAAGGCTGTCTTTTAAGAGAAAATAAAACTGTTTTCATGTCATCTACAATCATGGCTGATGTGGTTGTTACCATCGGCTCTGATTCATGCTGATTTGGTGCAAATCAAGCAGACCCTTGACAATCCGCTGAACACAAACAAACAATCTAAGATGAGCCAGAAGCCCTCTTTTCAGCCACGATAATACTTGAGGGTCTCACAGGATCTCAGTGAGGGTTGGTTAGTGATGCTCTAGAAAATGAGCCCTGATGTTTACACTGCCTACTTTACCACATTAAATTGCTGGAGCTAGTTGCACGAGAGGCCTTTTAGTCTCCCTGAAGGCTGTTAGACAAACAGTTGCACATTTGCCTTTATTGAAAGGGAAGGTGCCTTTATGTTTCGTCCCTGAGACAACACATACTGCTTACTTGTCATGCTTTAGGTGCTGAGTGTGAAATAGGGAACATAGATGGACTCTACTGGGACATGATCAACATTCCCTGTATTACATAATAAAGCACTGAAGGAAAAATGAAGCAACAGTTTGTAGTAGGATCCTCAGCAGGATTTGTTTTTTTTTTATTTTATTTTGAAATCACCTTTGTGTCTAAACTGTTTTTATAATCCACAGCGACACAACATTTTTTTACACTTTGAGTTTGTGTTCATATGTGCTGTATGAGTGTGTGTAATAAAAATGCTGCAGTTTTGGAGATAATTGCAGTGGCAGGAGCTCAGTTATTGGCTATTTTGATTTGTTTAAGTTGCGTATGGCAAGTCAAAGTAAAATATTTTGTTGGCACTATTAAATGTACAAAAAACAGCTTAAAAAAATCCAAATGTCWTTTGAAGTTGAGTGAGATTTGAATTATGAGTTCTAATACAGTATATAATTTCCTATAATGCATACTAATTGGGCTGAAGTTCAACATTTACAGCTTGTATGATGAAGGTGACAGGTTTTTTTTAGTCTTTTTTTTGTCTTTGTCTTTTGTCACCTTTTGGTCAATAAGTGTATTCATAAATGATTTGATGCAATCTTGTATAATGATGGCACCATACAGCTGAAAAACAAAGCAATACAAAATAAAACAAAACAAAACAAAAAAACYATAGATCAAGTTAATTTGACCCAAATATCTTACTAAAAACTGAAAAAATGTCCCAAATTAGTTTAAAATGTCCATAGGCTTGTTACATGTGACAATGAAAAATAGCAAAAAATAGCCATTTTATTATAT